AGATAGAATAGCAACATCATCAGCGAAGCCATGGTCAGCACCTTAATATTGCCTAGAATTGCTCCTCAATGACTTTGCCCAGCAGTTCTGCCCAGTTTTCAGTCCATGCAAGTGTTGAAGAGTGCTCTTGCAAGGACTAACAGGAAAAAGTTCGACCAGCCCCACCACTTACAGCTCTTACAGCTCTTACAGCTTGCTATAATCCAGTGATCCTTGTTGGAAGTCCACTCAATCTCAAGATCTCCCAGAGTGATTTCTGAAGCAAAGTATCGAATGCCTTCCTGAGGTCGATATAAGCTACAAGCAACACACGCTCGAGTCACAACGACGCTCTACTTGAAGCGCCAGGATACAGTCTATTGTGGACTTCCCAGGAGTAAATCCGGATTGCTCCGGCCTCTGGTACCTCAGTAGGTGGTCTTAATATGTCTCAAAAGGATGTGAATTTGAACCTTGCCTGGTATACTGAGCACTTCGGTGATTGCTGCAGTCCCATCGATCCCCATTCCCATTCCAGAGAGGGATTACCACACCTCTCATCAGGTCAAGAGGAATGGTACCAGACTGCCAAAGGCAGCCAGAACAGCACACAAACCCCGCGCCAAAGGTTCACCACCAGCCTTTAACAGTTCAGGTGGGATGCCGCAGTTACCAGATGCTTTACCACATTTCAGCTGGGAGATTGTCCTCTTTACTTCAGTTAAGGAGATGATGGAAGGGTCCGGCAAAGGAATCTCGACACTACCCGCATCCAAGTTAATTGTTGGTATCAACTGTGTACAACTGCTCAAATACTCAGCCCAACGCTCCCGCACCCCAACAGGATCTGAGCTGATCTGGCCAATTACTGAACGGACTGCAGTCGCCTGTGAAGAGGGCTTGGAGTTCAGCGTTCTCAGGGCTTGGTAGGCAGGACGAGGGTCATTTATTAAGATATGGCCTTCGACCTCCTCTACAGCGCTCCTAATAAATCTGACGCGATCCCCCGTCAGGTAACCGCGCGACAAGCTTCTGTTGCTTCCAGTGTCTCTTGCCAGACAGAATTCCGTCTTGCTCGCGGGTGTTCAGGAATCGATATGTATGCATATATATGTGTGTGTGTGTGTCATATATATATATATATATATATATATATATATATATATATATATATATATATATATATATATATATATATATATATATATATATATATAGTACATATATATATATATGTATCATTATGTATATATATATATATATATATATATATATATATATATATATATATATATATATATATATATATAATATATATATATATATATATATATATATATATATATATATATATATATATATATATATATATATATATATGTATACATATGTGTGTGTATATGGTGGCCCTTATTTTTTTCCATTTGGTTATTTATGCTCTCAACCCATCCCCATTGTTCCTAAAGGGCCAAATGAAGTTTTATTGGAAAACATTGAGAGCAAAAACTTCAAGAACATACTGCAGATGCTCCTCCCCTTTGGTCAGAGGACTACAGAATTCTTGCAGCAGCGCAAAGCGTTCAGCAGTCATTGGTTACAGCCAGAGTTGATGCTAAAGCCATTATTATTTGGAGGTCGGTATTTCCTTCCCTCTGGGTTGCTGGCGATGGCAAGAACCCATCTGGCAACTCCAACTGCTTCAGTGGCATTCTGGAGTGTTTTCTTGTAGTTTGCTGGTGACTTTCATTGCAACAGTAACACGTCCAGTGCAAGGCGACATTGCAGATCCCTTTATGGATTGCACTGCAGCAATTTTATTAAGGTTGTCATTCTGGGAATGGCTTCACAGCACGCGAGGTATGATATAAATTATGGAGAAGAATATGCACATGTCACGTAGCCCTCGCTGTTCCTTTGCAGTAGGTGTGAACTAGGGATGAAGCATCCAAACCATGAATGTGTAGATGACCTGATGCTTAGCTACAAGAGCAGCAAATCGTGTTCAACGAGGGGACCAGACACCAAGGGAAAGCATGACACGCGCAGGCAGCTCCCCTTCATTGCCTTGACAGATCTTCCGTGTTTCGTCTTGAGAGGTTTGATTGGCAATGAATTGCCAACTTACGTTGAAACGTTTGGAAAGTTGTTGGTCTGGTTCAGAAGAGAAACCCATGAAAATGACAAAAAAAAAAAAAAAAAAAAAAAAATACAATACTATATTGTAGAATTTTTTTTTCTCCTTATATATATATATATATATATATATATATATATTATATATATATATATATATGTTGTGTGTGTGTGTGTGTGTGTGTGTGTGTGTGTGTGTGTGTGTGTGTGTGTGTGTGTGTGTGTGTGGTATGTATGTATAGTACATCTATCTATATCTACTCTATCTTATCTATTATTATTATCTATCTATCTATCTATCTATCTAATATATGCTATCTATCTCTATCTATATATATAATAATATATGTGTGTGTTATGTGTGTGTGTGTGTGTGTGTGGTGTGTGTGTGTGTGTGGTGGTGTTGTGTGTGTTGTTGTGTGTGTGTTTACGTATATATATGTATATATATAGACAATATAGATATACATAAATTTAATGTTATGTAATATGTATATATATATATAAATATATATATATATATCTATATAGTATATTATATATATATATATATATATATAATGTATATATATGGTATATATATGTATGTGATGTATGTTATGTGGTGTGTGTGTGTGTGTGTGTGTGTGTGTGTGTGTGTGTGTGTGTGTGTGTGTGTGTGTGTGTGTATGTATACATATGCATACACAGATATACATACATAATGTTGTGGTAAATCTATCAATCTATCTATCTATCTATCTATCTATCTATCTATCTATATATATATATATATATATATATATATATGTATATAATGGGGTAATAAATTATATATATGTTATCATATATATGCATATACGTACATATGCGTACCGGATATAGTACTATTTATATACATACGATAGTATATAGATAAAATAGATATGATAGATATATGAGTATAGTACTACATACATTATTGTATGAGTATCTGTGTGTGTGTGTGTTTAAGTATATATATATAGTTATATATATATAGATATATATAACATACTATATGTATATATATATATATATATATATATAGTATATAATTATATATATATGCCTTATATATAATATATGATATTATGAAGGTTTTATAATATTTTCACTATTGTTCGTCAGGGCATATACTGTATATGCCCTGACGAAGCAATAGGTAAAGGCCTTCGACATATTCGTGTGTTTTTCTTGCCCTTCCCTTCGTTGTTCTTGTTGCATATATATATATATATATATATATATATATATATATATATATATATATATATATATATATATATATATATATATATATATATATATATATATATATATATATATATATATATATGTATATGGTATATATATATATATATATATATATATATATATATATATATATATATATATATATATATATATATATATATATACAACACTGTGTGCGACACTGAATACCCATACTGGAAAGGCATAAGAGGAAGCTTTTCAACTGAGACTGTCAAAAGGTGTGTTTGTGCCCTTTGTGGATGTTGATTAGTTTCAAGTGAGCGGTGAAGTGGCAAGGGCCCTCAAGGAGACGTGAAGATTCTACAGTTAGGTGGGACTCTGATTATGAATGGCTATAGTGTAGGAGTATTTGCTTACAGATTCCATTATCATGCATTTTTTAGATTTACAAATGGCTGCGGTGTAGGAGTGTTTGCTTGCAGACGAGGAGTAAGCATCGGGTTGTTATCAAATTCTCAATTTGGCAACTATTTCTTTTCTGCAAGAAATTGGCAAGTGACGAACTATAGTATTTAGCTACATCCTATCAGCATTCCCTATGGTCTGCCTCCCTGAACTCCAGGTTATGCGGCAAGCAGGCACTCTACATGACGGTTTGGTGACTTAATATACTTTCTTAGGATATCGGAGGACCTATAGAATCTGGAGGTGACATGGGATACACTCAAGCCATACCTGCATACTCTCAAAGTCCTCCTCCTTATCGGGGTCCAGTGCTGAGCAAAGAACCTGATCACAAGTTGGGTCAAGAGACAACCAGTTCAGAGTTTGTCTCCACCTCTTCAGCCTTCCTCCAAGGGCAGGGCTCGCTTGGTATATTATTTGCCGAGGACGCTACCGGTTGCTTGTTAAATTTGCGCGAGGCTCTGCCTAAGGAATGCTCATACATGTGGATATGCAATTACACAGCAATGAGTGCCTATCTGTCAGTATAGATATCCACATATATTGGATAGATAGATTTTAAAATTGCATATTTAACAGACATATATATTTAACTCTATATGTACTGTCTACATATGCATTCACTGGGTTCGAGCCTCACGCAGTCTTTAACAAACCGGCCGTTAGCCTTTTTAAGCATCAAAGGACACAGTGAGTTTCTCTGACCACCCTACAGCTTATAGGCTACCAGACCTCCCAAGATGACACAGTTTTTCTTTTACTTGCATTGTTTATCATACATTTTATATTGTTAAATTTCTTATTTGAATTGGGGAAAACAAATATTCCACGTACAATATAATAATGTTCATATTTACTTAGTTCAAAAGGCTGTGTTTATGTATTTTGTATGAAATTCATGTTGACTCTTTGTCTCTATTTCTGTCTGTCTTTTTCTCCTGTCTATGTCTCTCTCTCTCTCTCTCTCTCTCTCCTCTCTCTCTCTCTATATATATATATATATATATATATATATAATATATATATATATATATATATATATATATATATATATATATATATATATATATATTATATCATATACATATATATATATGTATATATATGGGGTATGTATTTATAAAATCATTGAGATCGACCATTGAGAAAACTCACTCCAGCCAGCGACTGCTCTTCGCGAGCGACGCCGAGAAGCAAGCAAAACAAACCTTTCGAGGAAGGAAGAGCTCGACGTCGTCACTCAGCTCACTTCCGAGGACCGCGTCGACTGAACTCGCCTCGATCCGCTCAGTGTTTATAGCAGTGATGCTTGTTTTTTCTACGAGTTGGTAACTGTTTGTTTTCATTTTGAAGAAGACAGTTAATGCGTCAGTTTTTTGTTGTGACCCCTCTTATTGTTTATATACTGCTTGTTTATCGCGAGTGCACACATACACACACACACACACAATTAAAATCTCGTGCCTCGAAAACATCATTGGAGTGAACTCTCTCCATCGACCTTGACGGCGCCGGGACCGAAGGCAGACTGCGCCATTGTGTGAACTGTTTTTCTGAATTATTCAGTATGTTATATAGAAAAAGAAATTATTCCATTCGCCTTTAAAACGTTCCCAGCTAATCACGGGTACCTGCCTTGCTTGTTTCCGTTGAATATTAAGGCGATATAAAGGCCTTCCTTTAACGTTTTTTAAAATCCCTTTTATTTTTTATCTGCCCAGCTGTGAAAATGGTTTTATTTTATGTATTTTTATCTTCAGTCTATTTTACAATTTTAATTTATGCATATGAGATGAACAGGAAACGACATGATGTTGTTAAGAGCTTCGCAGCCCTTGTTTTTTTTTTTTTTTTTTTTTCATTTCTACCAACCTCCACTGCCTGACCTGATGAGCAGAGGTCAAACGAAGACTCTACACATTGGGCTTGACATCTCCTAGCATACGCTTCTCGTTAACATGCGCAGGCAATGCTCCAGCCAGAGATCCTAGGGAGAGACTGCAACGGTGCATTGTCCTGACATATTAACCAGGGAGACCAAAGCACATTTCATTATTATTATTTTGCTGTGGCAACTCGATTTGGCTCGCTGTGGAACACCTATTTATAAACAGTGTGTGTTATTCCCTGATTATATTTATATAATATATATATATATATAATATATATATATATATAATAAGCTGTGCTATCAGTAAATATCAATAAGTTTTTGTTTAGTTCTTTGTATGTACCTTTTTTATTTTGGTAAGGAGTTGTGCCCAGGCTCCTTTTTATCATCTGTTATTTTATTCTATTTCATTAAGTGTCGCAAGTACACAGAAAACTTAACTAATGAAAGAAAACGGGGAAGCCCACTGTTAAGAACCTTGGGGATGGCTTTCGGTTTTAAGTGTTTTATTTCTCTTTAATATCTAAGCTTTCATTTCTTTTATGGTTTGTTTTTTACTGTTTCTTTTAGTTTTCAATTTTCACTTTTACTTCATTTTACAGCCATATTTATCCCAGGCCCACCGTGCCTTCGGAGGGTTCTTGCCGCTCGGCCCGCTCCGACACGAAAAGCCCCATTGTGAATAACAGTAGTGCGGTAGTTGACTCCTTCAGGGTCACTCCGTCACTGGCAAGCAAGGTTGCATTCACTACACCATCGCCCGCACGATCCGAGCCATGGCGGTTGCTCCGGGCATTCGAGTTCATTTTGAGGAAAGTTGACTCCCCATTTTGTTAAGACTGTTTCGTGTTTAGGTAATGATCAATCCTCCAGTGAGTATGCTTAAGTGTTGAAGGGTATGCACGGATTTTGTTGAGTTATTGTTTACCAATTATGAGTCAATTACCATTTGTGATGAATTCATATTTTTGTAGATTTACGGTTTTCTCTTGTTTCAAATGCTATCGGAATCTACATGATTAATGAGTGAATACAAATGGATAAGTCAATTTACCTGGATAAACGTCAACCCCCCCCCCTTGCCTCTGTGGAGTATACTTACAGTGTCCAAAGTAACGCCCATAGCTATCAAGGATGCAGACCAAGTTTTCGTGTTATAGCTCGCTCTGGTCTCCCCTGACTGCGGCAATGCCAGTCCTGCAGAGAAACACGAAGAGCTCAGCGTAAGATTATGAGCCTTAAAACAATTCATAATCATGCATCCCTGGGTCTTCTCAAAAACTGCTTTGCCATCCCTAAAATTGCAGTACTTATTACATACAGACCTTTTAAAAGTACTTAACTCTTGCAACTCATTGGCGATTCTGTAAAGAGAGCAGCCACTGATTCATGCAGTGTCAGCTTTGGTTGCTGACAGTTAAAATCCCTATTAGTCTTGAGGATCTTGAGATTCGGAAGGCAACAGACATACTGTTTCTGCTTTCATATCCTCCGGAAATATCAGTGCACACCTTACACGATTGATATTACTGCAGACTTTGCCCACACTGTATTTTGATTTTACGAAGGTAGTGAGTTTTTGGACGATTATAGCAGAACACACAGATCGCTCAGGCAGTCGGACTGTTCACACGCTCCTTATGTGCTCCTGTAGCTATGCCCGCCTGACATTCTCGGAAGGTAGCCGTTGAAGTCTTAAAACTCCTTCCGTGGTGTGAGGTCACCGGCAACGTTCTGTCTCATGATTACTATTCGGTGCCAGCATAGATAGGCAAATAGCATTAAATGCCATCCTAAATAAGTTGGCTTTGAAGTTAACAGAGTGGAGTTCAGACTGGTTATACACACTAGCCTGAATAACAAGCAAACGACCCACTCAGTCAACCAGGGGCTAACATCCCAACTGCCCATTAGCCAACATGAAATGCCAAACCACTAAGGGTAAAATGGCATGAATAAGAATTAAAGATAAAAGCCCTAGTTCCTCAGGCAGGCAGGCTAAACTATGGCTATGTTTCGGACAAGCAAAGGTGACGGTCTATAAAATAGACGACGCCAAAAATACTTTTTATGCAATCGCTAATGATGAGACGATCGAAAAACTGTTGTCCACAGATTGCAAAGCAATTTCCAAAAACAACAATTCGAGATCCGAGACCCTCCGAATACAATGCCATGAAGACCGTAACTATCCGAAACATCGATCAACAAATCATTAATTATGGAGAAAGCGAAATAATAGAAACGATCAAAAGAGAGAACGGTTGAGCAAAGGTCGAACAGGTGATTAAGCTACCTAACACGCCAACAATCATCAAGGTGCGGTCAGAAACCACCCAAATGGCCAAGAAAGCTCTGGAAAGCGGAATGCTGTTATTACATCAATCCATTCCCTCAAGATTTATCGAAAAATATTTTCATAAATCTAGTTCCATGCTATAGGTGCTATAACTATGACCATATAATAAAAGGCTGCAAAGAACCAGAAACCTATACAGCTTGCTCAGAATGAGCTGCAAAGGACCACACTTACAAAAATTACAACGATAATGCAAAGAAATGCTTAAATAGCAACGGTGACCACCGCACGGTAGCCGCCAAATGCCCAACCAGGAAAAACATAATAAAAGAAAGAACTAAACAAGAGAGACAGGCACTTAGGAGCCAAACAACCGCCACCCCTCGTTTACCCAAGCAAGCTATGCGAGGGCAGTAACAGAAACAATACCTACCACTACTGTCAATCCGGAGGCAATAATAAAATCATTGCCACCGAACACCGCAGCGAACATAATGAGTGCGATCATATTTGCATACATTCAGGAAGCCAAACAGCCAGGCAGCTTCCAGAAAACGATCGATGAGATGTATGACCTAAACAACATCCCGAGAGTCAGATTTTCATCTCAAAACAATGCCAGAGAAACACTCCCTTTATTAATGGGCAATAACACAGTCGTGGGCTCAGAAGCAGGGGACAGGGAAGGAGCAATGGAACAAGAGGAAACCAGCAACAAGAGAGGCAGAGAAACATCACCAACCCAGGAGACAGCCGCAAAGAAAACGGCGAGCGAAGAAATATCGCAGAGAGAGCAGACTGAAAGCGACGAGGAATGCCGACTCCCGCGCCCGATACACCACCATGAGGAAGAGGAATCCCGCCCAATGCCACGAAGACAACCTGAACGAAAAGTCAGCGCGACGAGAGTGAAGCTGCCAGAGATCAGATTACGAGTGAGAGTTGAAAGCTTCGGATTCATCCCCAGGAGACGCTCGCACTCAGAGATCTCACAGTTTATCCAGACGAAACTAATTAAGTATAAATATTACCATCCTGATATATACGACGACCAAATCATCAAAGATCAGATTCACAGCAGAATCATGGACCTGAGTGCTTACAGGATACAATATGTAAAGGAAGACGCATACGACATATCAGAACCGCACGATAAATACAGAATAGAGCCAGTAAATATAAGGCTCTATATACTTTCCAAAAAAGTTTGGGATAAAATGGCCATCACAAATGAAGAATTGGCCAGAACTTCCGAGGATCAGCCCACTGAGAACCCTCACGGAAGAGACCACAGCTGGTGGAGGAGAATCGCTCCGCACTTGGAGAACGGACCGCCAGATCCATACTATGCAGCAGTGTTGTAAAATAGACAAAACACTGCCTTACTTCAATACTAACAGCAATGTACAAAGATTGTAAATACTGTTTATAATCATCTTAAGATTCGTATTAATTACTTTTGTTACGAAAATAACACAAAAGAAAGCAGAAGGTGGGCTTTCCCCGCCACTTTTAATCTCTTGCTATTTCATTTTCCGGACTTGTTCTTCGCATGATCTAGCTAGATCACCCTCAAGGACCTCCATCCTTTCATATCCGGCTGCAAAAGAAAGAAAGAAAGAAAAAAAAAAAAAAGCAGAACAGACGAGGAAATGATCCCTATTCAGAGATCTAAACTGGTGTGGGATTTCCTATCAGCCAAAGCCTCTCTCAGCCGCATGCTGGACGAAGGGATCAAGTGTCCAGAGTTCGTCTCTTGACTGCTGTTCAGCCTCAAGTGGGGCGTGGATCCTTGCGATTCCTGTGCCCTCTCTGGGAGCATATCCCTACGCTGACACCCTTCGTCATGCAATCGCTCAGTGGGTCGGTGCTCTCTGATGCCATCCACATGAATGTAAATGTGGAGGTCAAAGGGACTCCTTTGGGCATCATGCCCTTCCTGCAGTGCTGAACGGTTATCTTGGTATTATCAGAGAGCTTCTTCACATTGCGTTCAAAAATTATAATCAACCTCTTCTGCCGAAAAGTGGAGAAGATTTCCATAAACTACGCTTTCAGGT